TCAAGTGATTCTTCTGCCTCAGCCTCCCAAGTAGCTGGGATTATAGGCACATGCCACCACGCCTGGCTAATTTTTGTATTTTTGTTGGAGACAGGGTTTCACTATGTTGGCCAGGCTGGTCTTGAACTTCTGACCTTGTGATTCACCTGCCTCAGCCTCCCAAAGTGCTGGGATTACAGCGTGAGCCACCGTGCCTGGCCTCTGATGATCCATTTCATATATGTACACAAACACAGACTTGGGGCAGCTATTCCGAGAAAACTATCTTAGATCTTTTCCATTTTTTTTCTATTTTTGTTTTTGCAATTGTGGTAAATGATACATAACAAAATTTACCACCCTTTCCTGCACATCACGTGGGACAGAGAAAAAAATGAAAAAACAGCAAAAGAAAATTTACCATCGTAACCATTTTTTTTTTTTTTTGAGATGGAGATTCGCTCTTTTTGCCTAGGCTGGAGTGCAATGGTGCGATCTCGGCTCACTGCAACCTCTGTCTCCTGGGTTCAAGTGATTTTCCTGCCTCAGCTTCCCAGGTAGCTGAGATTATAGGCGTGTGTCACCATGCCCAGCTAATTTTGTATGTCTGTGTGTGTGTATATATATATATAATTTTTTTTTTTTTTAATAGAGATGGGGTTTCACCATGTTGATCAGGCTGGTCTTGAACTCCTGACCTCAAGTGATACATTTGCCTCAGCCTCCCAAAGTGCTGGGATTACAGGTGTGAGCCTCCGTGCCCAGCCCATCGTAACCATTTTTAACTATGCAGTTTAGTGGTGTTAAGTACATGCATATTGTTGTGTAAATATCACTGGTAACTATCATTTATCTCCAGAACTTTTCTCATCTTCCCAAACTGAAACTCTGGCCCAATGAACACTAACTCCCCATTCCCTCTCCTCTTAGCCGTTGGCACTCACCATTCTACTTTCTGTGTAAGAATCTGGCCACTCTCGGTACCTCCATTAAGTGGAATCTCATATAATATTTGTCCCTTTGTATCTGGCTTTATTTCATTTTGCATAATGTCTTCTAGGTTCGTTCATCTGGTAGCATGTGTCAAGATGTCCTTCCTTTTTAGGGCTCAATAATATTCCATTGCCTGGATATACACTTTGCGTTTATCCATCCATCTGTTGATGGATGCTTGGGTTGTTCTTTTCCATGTATTGAGTGATCTTGGTGCAGAGGCCTGTACTCACTAGAGTTTCCTCTTGTTGACCCTCCATTATACACCCCTTCCCCATCTCTTTCCTTCTCTGTCTCTTCCTTTTCCAACATTTGGTTCATTTGTAGAGAGTCTGGTTGGGTCATGTAGAGCCCAGGAGACCCTGCAGTGGGTGGGCAGAACAGGCATGGGGGAATCTGGCTGTAAATAGAGGTGTGGGTGATCAGGCAGGCCATGTTTAGTGGCCTGGTAGGGGAGTGGGCCCCCAGCCCTGGGAAGTGGGTTTAGAGTCAGGACCTTGGGTCATCTGGCACTTTGTATGGAAAGAAAAGCTAGAGACCATGTTACTAAAAGGGGGCACAGCTCTGGTTCAGGTAAGGTGTTTTTTTTTTGTTTGTTTGTTTTTGCTTTTTCTTGACTCAGAGTTTTGCTCTTGTCACCCAGGCTGCCAGGCTGGAGTGTAGTGACACGATCTCAGCTCACTGCAACCTCCGCCTCCCGGGTTCAAGCGATTCTCTTGCCTCAGCCTCTTGAGTAGCTGGGATTACAGGTGCCCACCATGCCCGGCTAAATTTTGTATTTTTAGTAGAGATGGGGTTTCACTATGTTGCCAGGCTGGTCTCGAACTCCTGACCTCAGGTGATCCGCCTGCCTCGGCCTCCCAAAGTGCTAGGATTACAGGTGTGAGCCGCTGCGCCCGGCCTCAGGTGAGGTTTTGAGCAGAGAAGAAGAACATGCCCTGAATGAGGGCATGTGTCTGTAGAGGAGGTCCCTGTTCTTCCCTCTTGGTTTCCCACCCTATGCTCACACCGATTCTCCTCCCAAAGCTCCCTGCCAAATTCAGGCCTCATGCAGACCCAAACCCTCCTTAACCTGTCTTTAATCCCATGAAGTTAGGCAGTCTTTTTTTTTGTAACTAAGATGACTGCAATGGGGTCTTGCAGTGAGGAGAGAGATTGAACTCAACTCCCACCCCGACCCCTTTTAAACAGTTCTTCCAAACTTGGAAAAGGACAGAAGAAGGAATTAAAAAATACAAGTAGAATAAAATTTCTAATGTAGAGGTTTCTGCAGCTTAAGGTCTCAGTAAAGGCTATGGAACTCCCACCTGATCCCGTCTTTTTTCTAACATAATCACCTAGTACTACTACTACTACTACTACTACTACTACT